CCCCAAAACCCCAAAACCCCAAAACCCCAAAACCCCAATAGCAAAGATTCATCTTGAAAAATGTGAGTTATGAATAGCATATGAAATCTGAGAGTTAATTCTTGGGTCTCCTCATATCTCTTTGAAGGACCATTTTTCGGCGAGAGTAGCCAGCAATTTTCCCACTTTCACTGATGCTAGCGACATCTCTCATGCCGCTTGATCGGCCATCTAGATAAAGTTAGGGGGGAAAGAAGTTTAATTACATCTTGAGTTATTCTCTTGGGTGATTGAGGCTTCTTGGATTCTATCTCCAGCAGCACTTGCTAGCCTCTCTTCGATAAGTTGATCATTAGCTGAGAAGAAGTTAGAACAAATAAGTGGGCTTTTATTTAGAGGAGACTTTTTCATTGCCTTTTCAGGTACTAAAGAGTTTAGAGAGATTATTACATTGAATCTGAGCATAGTTGTACAACTGAGAGTCCCTCTTCTCTTTAGCTTTTAGAGGAAGTTCTCTTTGAATCATGAAAGGAGATGTTGATTTCTTGTGGTAATTTACTTCTTTTGAGGAATCCAAATTTCCAATGGGTTTAATTTTATTGTCCTAAATTTGAACTGAAACTTATACATCATCATCAATATTTTCCATATCGCTGACAAAGTTACCATAAGACGTCCCTTTTATTCCTTCAACAAAGTCTCTTGTTCTAGATCTTCTTCGTTTCATGAGATTTCTTGCTACATTAGGATCTGTGTGATCTTCTGATCCTTCGGAGATAACTTCATAATAGTCAAATCTAAATGTTACTAAAATAACAATACCCTGGAGCTTTGACATTGGGATTGGGAATCTCAGATAGATTCTGACTGATCCCTTCCATAGCATTCTTGGTATTATTCTCGCTCTCTGGAAGAGTTGCACCTTGCCCTTGCATTTTATTGATTTTCTTAAGTTCCATTTGTTGTCGTTCAACATCAACTTTTCTGATTCGTTTCTTAAAGTCATTATTCCTTCTATGGGTGAATACAGCTCCACTCTCGTCTAACTTATGAGGCTTAATGATGCTTTCTCCAACTCCAAAGGCGAGACTTTCGTTTGCGTTAGACCCTTGGATTCTGATGAGCCAGCCATCTTTCTTCGTGACATCAATGGACTCATCATAGATCATGCTTCCATTTCTTGGGATTCCTTTACTATTTTCCTTGATTCTGGCAAGTTTACTAATGGAGCCGCTTAAAACACCTGATTTGTTAGCATCTATTGAGGACTTATTTCCTGATTATCTTTTCTTCCTCCATGAAACTCCCTTGGCGGGGAGGAACCTTCCTCCCATTTTTAAACTTGTCCTCAAAGACCACGTTACTAGTGATACTCTCAAATTTTCGTGGCTGCTGCCTGTAGGCTGGGGGCGGCTTTTGGACCTTAATGTTCTGCATTGGGTCGAAGTGGTCACTTGATTGATCAGAGCCTGTGGGTTAGGTAAGAGGGAACATACCAGCCTCTATGTATCCTTTGACTGAGTTATCAATAACCTCTTCCTTGGGGTATTCCTCATTCTCATCTATATTTTCACATCTTCATAGAGATTCGACTGGAAGGGCTTAAAATTTTTATAATTAGTATTCGATTTTAGATCAGACAGCAACATCCTCTTTGATTCTAAAAGATTAGCAGCATAAGGTACTGTTAAGTTGGGGTTTCTCTTTCTGTTTGATTTTAGGAGTGGGCTGGTAAGATTCCGCCTCAGATTCTTCTTCTTCTTCTTCTCCGAAAGCAGCTTGATAATTGAGGTTTATAAGCTGTTTGTCAGTATTTTCTTCCTCATCATCTTCGTCATCATCGTATCGGGTTTTTATCTTTTTAGGCTTGCTTTGGGGCTTATTTATATTTCTGAAATTATGTTCATCTATAATTACCTTATGCTTGCTCTGAGTACTATGAACTCGAGGGTTGGAGGGATCATGGTCTTTTTCTATTAACATCACTCGGGCACACTCACCTTCTTCACTAATGTTCGCAAACTCTATTAAAATCAGGGTATATCTTACCATCTAATTTCTTCTTCAGTTTCCTTCTTTTCTTATTCTTGGTCTGGGTTGAATCTTGGGTGAAGCAAAGTCAAACTATGAGTGGTCAGAATAATCTGGATGATTAAAAAAATTAGGGATTAATGTGTTGGTCTAAACTCATCGGTCCTTCAGAAATTATTTTTGTAATACACTTTTGCGTGCACGCATAAATTATTATAAGAATTCAAGCTAGGATATCTAGGTACTTCTGTTTGTAACTTCTTTGGACTACATGCATAAATTTTCCAGCTGATTTTGGTAGCTATAAAATATTAGTCAGCACTTTCTGAATTTTATTCCGATACAATAACTGGATTAATTTATTCAAACCTTTATTATTAATAAATAGCTAAAGAGGAGTAAATAAACAGAAATATTTCAGAATTTGTAGATTCTGCAAAGCCACTACCTTCAAAAATTTCATGATCAAAATTCTACATTTATTCGGACAAGCAAAGCCCAGATGTAACAATCGAGGTGCCGATAGATTCTTAGTATTCATGCGGCACCTTCTCAGCAGAAATTCTTTAGCTAAATTTATGAACTATCTTGGATCCTCACAAATTTTTCAATGTTTAAAGCACTCATTGCTGATGCCAGGTAAATTATCCAGTTATTCCAGGTTAGGAACAGATATCAAGCAGTGTAGCTTTAAAAGAGAGAATCCAATTTTGGACTGATTTCATCCAGAATATTGACTGTACCTTAAGAGCTACCTTGGCTGTGTAATTTTGGAATAATTTAAAGCCAAGCTAACACAGAATTATCTTGAGAATAGCTGCTCAGGAAAAGAGTCTTTTCTGTATAAATTTCTGCTGTAAATTAGTAAGTAGCTCATTTTTATAACCCAGCTTTGACTCCAAAGGAGTCAAAGCTGGATCTGACTATGTGCTATTGACTACCAAGCGAATGTATTTTACAGAACCCTTGTACATTTCCTCAACAACAGCTTTCTGTTTTATTTATATAATAGCCCTAGTTAAAAGACTGTGTCTCCGCTTACCTCTATAGAAAATTAGTCTTAAGGAAATGTAGCTATCAAGAGAGATGCTATCCAAAATTCTCTTGTAGTTCTATAATTTTACCTTGATGCCATCTCTTTGAACCTATTTCAATTAAATTATTGTTATTAGGGGTTTTGGGGTTTTGGGGTTTTGGGGTTTTGGGGTTTTGGGG